AAAGCTTCCCTCACACTCTCCCTTAAAATGGTCTCTAAACTTTAGGAGGAGAGACTATATACTTTACAAGGGTTTTCAACTCTACAAACACAGAGTTTTTGTTCACTTTTCTTGCTACTCCATGCAGGAATAGCTAGGATATTTATAGACCCCAAATGGCTTCAAAAATGGAGCCAAAATTCAAATCCCCTGAAATTTTAGGGCACGAGCGGTACCACCGCCTGACACAGTCTCGGAGATAGTGCCACGACGGTTTCACCTATTTGGTCACTGTTTGGGCCTTTCTCTTGACCCAACACAGCCCAAACTTGGGCCCAACTATCTCCTAATTGGGTTGGCCCAATTCTAATCCCAATTATGTGCTAACTATAAATTTTAAGACATTTACTAAGCTAAACAAAGTCCATAAGTCTAGGTTTTTTTCGACGAACTTCCGGCGATCTTTCGACGAACTTCCGACGATCTCTCGGCAATATTCCAGTGGGCTCCCGACAAGCTCCTGGACTTCACGACGATCTTCTTAGAGAGTTCCGATGAGCTTCTTTGGCAAGCTCTTGGACTTCTCGGTCAATTTCGGCAGAACTTCCAACGAACATCCGGACTTCCGACGAACTCTCGAACTCCCAACGAAATCGTGTTCTTGACTCCGGGACTTCATTTAGCTTTATGCATTGTTATCGTAGTTAATCATGCATACATAAAACATACTTCGATCTAGACAATTATTACTAAGCATGAATCATGTTGTCCGACATGTCATTGGTCCATCGACGCTTCGTCCGATTCTTCGGCGCATCGTCCTCTCTTGCGGCCTATTGCCTAATCGGCCAGTTGACCTCCGAAACTCCGATATCCTCAGCGCAATATCTGCTCTTCTTGGCCCGATGCTTGAAACCATAGCCCGAAGCCTTCTATCGATACGTCGACCGATCCTCCAACATGACGTCCAATCTTCTGACGTGTTTTTCTCCGGTCTGACATGATTCTTTCTGCTTTAATTGTCTCTCCCAGATCGAAGCTTCCAGCGTCACTCAAAATGCAGATTAAATCATAAATACTATCAATTGGTTTCATCATTAAAACCTAAGATTCAACACAAACTATACCACCTCTCGTTGTATTATTGCAAGACATACATTTTGTATGTCTTGATGACTTGACATTAGGATCCTTTGGATCCTTGAGATAAGTGTCCTTCCATACAAGATCCTTTTTTGAGTTTCTCACTTACGATTCATCTGAAATACCACCAGTGTAGCAATGGATTCATATGAAGTACCACTAGTGTAGCAATGATTCATGATTCTAAAACTACAACAACAATCCAATATACTACAAAGTAGCAATAATCCAATTACAATAATTATCCTTTTTTTTTTATCTTTTATCGGTGTATGTATTTAATATAATTGAACAACCATATTTTGCCAGCATTTTATCCATTCATCAAACTATTTATGTAATCCAACTCATTTTTTAAATATGAAACTCTTAGCTTATGATAACTTAGAGGTATTAATTTAGAACCATGCTTTCCAATTACTTCAATCATACACTTAAAACTATCTAAACAGGTTATAATGAATGTAATACCTATTTGATAAAGAAGCTCTTGCTTTGTTATTATAAGCATTATGTATATTTGTTTGTTAGCTCTTCGTTGACTTTGTACTAATTTATTTGATTTTTGAAAAATATATATAAATGTATTGGTCCTTTCCTTTGTGAAACTTTTGAATTCTTAACAACAATAATTTCTTTTTGCACTTCTATCTCATGCTCTCTTACCACTTACATTTATCTCTTCCACCTCGTTATATTCTAGAACTTTGTTATCCTTAGGTAAATAGCCATATGATTCAATCTTTTGGATCTTTTTCTCATTCATGTATGCTTCTAACTCAAGTTTAATCTCTTCAGGATATTTTTGCATGTAGATGCATTTTTAAAATTTATGACTTGATATTGTTTTGTGCAAACTATACCACCTCTCGTTGTATTATTGCAAGACATACATTTTGTATGTCTTGATGACTTGACATTAGGATCCTTGAGATAGGTGTCCTTCAATGCAAGATCCTTTTTTGAGTTTCTCACTTACGATTCATCTGAAATACCACTAGTGTAGCAATGATTCATGATTCTAAAACTGTAGCAACAATCCAAAATACTAAAAAGTAGCAATAATCCAATTACAAAGACTAACATATACAAAATTTACATGTTATATTAATAAAAATATTAACATGAAAAGAAGAGGATGCTCTGTGGAGAAGTTTGGTTGGATGGTTGTTTTGTTAGGTGACTGGGAAAGAGGGAGGATAAGGGATTGTGGTCCGCGAGAAGGAGAATGGAATTTGCTGTGGAGGGGAGGAGGTGCGATAGTAGAGGGGAGAGGGGAGAGGGGAGAGGGAAGAGGGAAGAGGGAAGAGCTAGAGTAGAGAGGGTTGTAATGAAGAGGGGGAGAGGGAGGAGGGAGGAGAATCGAATGTGCAGGGGAGGTTAGTGTTGGGGAAAGGAGGAGCTTCGACGATAGGAGAACTCGACCGCTCAACCCAATAAGCGGGTGCTCGGGCCATGCCTCGGTTCGCTTAGATACCTATAGGCGAGCATTTGACGATTTCATTGATATGTACTTTTTTTTAATTGTGATTGTCTCATATGATTTCTTTAAACTTTATAATAAACTATATCTTACAATAATCAACTCGATTATTTGGAGTGTCCATATGGGTTTGCCTCCGAGATATGATTCAACTTATTTATTTGTCTCATAATGATACTTTTAAGTTTGAACCGGAGTCAAGAGTCGTCGTACAATTAGTTTATTGTTGTATGATCATTATATTTGAAACTAAAAAAGATAATGGAAATAATTGATGCTGATTAGTTATAAATCAACTTAGTAACCATATGTAGCAAGGTATACATTATATTATTTATTTGTGGTTAGACCCTTGTTCATTCTAAAACCACCTCCTACGAGTGAGCGAGTGCCTACACAAACATTAAGCTCTAAGCAAACAAAGAAGAAAAGAAGGTATCATCATTTAACCATATTTTTTATCTTGGATAAAGCAACTAAAAATATTCTAATTAAGCCCCGAATCAATTTAATTCCTGGCCTTTCAGCGGTTGCTCACTAATTAAACCCAGTTATATCAGACATGGACATATTGGAGCAAATAACCCGTGAAAAAATATGTTTATCCTGGAGAAAGCAACTAAAAATCTTCTAATTAAGACTCTGATCAAATTTAATTTCTCAACTTTCAGAGTTTACCAACTAAATTAGCCCAGTTATATAAAATATTGTAGCAAATAACATCATGAACCTGTGAAGAAAATAGGATAACCTGATCTACACGGAGACCCTATAGTCTGAATACTTGAGCTGCATCACACCATTTGTATCACTTTTGTATCTATAGAGAAGAAAAAAATAAAAAGAAAGGAGAAAGAATTTTATATACATATATAAAGAAATTGAAGGAAAAGAGAATATTTTATTGTATTTTATGGCTACTAAATATTCAATACCACTCCGACAAGTATCCAAGTTAAAACTGATTAGTTTAAATCCTTATTGTGGAAGGAACAACTTATTAAAGTACCTGAAAGTCGAGGATTTCTGAAAAAACAATCAGATCACTCTCTTAATTTGGATCTATTTGCAGATTTTTTTTGATGAATCCCATATAGATATTGAAAACAATTCAATTGCTATTTTGACCAATGCAACATTTTATTTGTTCAAGTTGGGACCTCTGAATTCTCGGGTTTTGTCAGAGCAAGCAGAGAAAAATGGGAAATATGCAAAAGACCGGAGAAACCTCTTCAGAAGCCAATATGGAAACAGCTACAAGCAACCGAAGCAGACCATGGATTTGATGTTTCCCGTGTGTGTTTTGCTTGCCACATGTAGAATGTATTTCTGAGAATGATCTTACAATCGATAGGAAAGGACAAATTTTTATGTGGCTGGTTGGGTGTGACGTGAGTTTAACTCGGCAAATTATATACTCTCCAAAGTAGAAAATTCTCATTATCTTCTTTATCTTGTGTAAAGAACCTCTGTTAAATTCACCTATAGATCAACCCATGCTATTTTTGGACACTCATAAAAGAGGTAAAGAAAGAAGATAATTTAGATTGATCGACCGACCTATAGATCCACCCTGCTATTCTTGGAATCTGATAAGACCTAAAAATGTTTTACTAAAAACTATAAATAAAATTTTAAATATTTTTAATTAAAATATAAATACAGTTTGTTTGTTTGTTTTTTTGGTTGTATATCTCAATAGTCAAAACAGTCATAATATTATAATTATTATAATATTATTTATACTGGTGATTGAGTTTATACACGTAGAAGGATTTAGGTTACTAGGTTTCCAACCGTCCCTTTGTGGACCAAAGTAAAGTTGCAGTAAGGGATCCTGTGGACAACATCCCCTATTAGGCACAGGGATTTCAGTAGGCATCTTTAGACATATCATCAAACTTTCATAAACATCTCATTACCCTTATCCTATCTATTTAGAATCAACTACATAAATCTTTTTTTTATGGGAAAGATCTTTAATTAAACCAAGAGTAGTGCTTACATCCTTATATATAATTTCTACTAAACTTTTAAACCTTAGTCCAAACCCTAAAGATTCCGCTCCTAACATTTCATGGGGATTTAAGTATACCTTATAATTCTGAAACAGAATTTCTATAATCATTAGGTCCCGTACTTGAAATTCCTCAACCAAACACACAGATAATTCTGATTCAGATATTCTATTGAAAAATATAATTCTGGAGTATACTAAACTAAGGACGTAAGACAGCTACACCCTAAAGCTGCAGGTCACCAACATGAGACGCATCAACCAAATCAATGACATCTGAAGCAATACAGATCTTTGCTGCCAGATAAGACAACTAAAATGTAGTAAAGCTCACAATGAACGAGTTCAACTTAGTTGGAAAGGAACAAAAGCGAGAAAGAAACAAACAGCTCAGACGAGAATACATACCATTAGAAATTCTGTTTATTTAAAGATTGACGATACTTTGATTGCTGAAGAAGCCTTTTGGAACACAACATCAGATTCTTCAGATACCCCAAAATTGATACATCAAACAATACAGAAGATGCCACTACAAGTAACTCAGGTTCTGTACGTGTCATGTTCAATTCTTCCACCCGTGAATGAGCAGCTCCACCAACAGCCAAGAAGCTGATCAATTCTCTCATTCTTGAATACTTCACAACGTCAAGCAGAACATGCAACCTATGGAACTGAATCTTCTGTGAGAAGAGAGAGAGAGAGAGAGAGAGAGAGAGAGAGAGAGCTGTAAGTGTTAAATCTCGGATTTCGACGATGAAACCAATTGATAATGTTTATGATTTAATGTGAGTTTGAGTGACGCATGACTAGCTTCGATCAAAAAAGACAAATCGATTAAAGCATGAGGAATCATACGTTGAGTTAGAACACACATATCAGAAGATTGGATGTCGGGCCGGAGGATCGGTCGACGTGTCAATAGAAGGCTTAGATCCGTGAATTCGAGCATCGGGCCAAGAAGATCGGACATTGCGCCAAGGAGATCAGATGTTACGAGAAGACAACATGCTGATTAGGTAATACGTCGAAGGAGAGGATGACGCGCCGAAGGATCGGACGAAGCGCCGGAAGAACCAATGACATGTCGGACAGGATTCGCTTATAATCGATTATGTCTGGATCGAGTTAGTTTAGAGTCTAATTGAGTCGGTTTAGAATGTAATTAGGCCAACTCAATTAGGGGTCAACAGGGCCCAAGTTTGTACTATGTTGGGTCAAGTGAAAAGGCCCAAACAGTAACCCAACAAGTGAAATCGTAGTGGCAAAGTCTCCGAGACTGTGTCAGGCGGTGGTATCGCCCAATGGTAGGGTGCCAGGCAGTGGTACCGCCCAATGTCAGGCTGCAGGCAATGGTACCGCCTGTACCCCGAAATCTCGGGGATTTGAATTTTGACTCCAAGTTTTGAAGTCATTTGGGGTCTATAAATACCCCAGCTATTCCTGCATGAAATAGCAAGAAAGTTGAGCAAAATTCTGTGATTCTAAAGTTGTAAATCCCATTAGAAAGTTGAGTTCCCTCCTCCTAAAGCTTATAGAGAGTTCTAAGGGAGGTGTGTGAGGGATACCTTGTAAAAGAGAGTTGTAAAATGTTGTCTCCTAAACCTATGAAAAGGAGAATAGGGTGTAAAAAGGTAGTTGATCTTTGCCCATTGAAGGAAGATCGTTAGTGGATGCCGGTGGCCTCGACGGAAGAGGAATCAGCGGAGTGGATGTAGGTCACGACAACCGAACCACTATAAAAATATGGTTTGCATTTACTTCTTGCTATTTACCTTTACTGTAAACTGAATTCTTACTTTCACTACGCTTCCGCATGCTTTCAAGTTAAGCATTTCCGATATCGGTTTTTATCGAACAAAAAGATTTTCAGACTCAACGTTTTTATCCGCTGCACTAATTCACCCCCCCCCCCTCTTAGTGCCGACTCGATCCTAACAGTTGGTATTAGAGGCAAGAGAAATGACTCTTTTCGGCTTTCAAGAGGGCTTTTCTATCGTTCGTCCTCCCATGTTCAATGGGACGGACTACACTTATTAGAAAACTTGGATGAGAGTTTTCTTGCTTTATATGGATTTGAATTTATAGAATATTGTCGAAAACATATTTCAAAAGTCTTCTCTTCCAATGAACGATTGGAATGATTCGGAGAAGAAGACATTCTCTTTGAATGCCAAAGCTATGAATGCTTTGTTTTGCGCCTTAGACAAAAATGAATTTAATCGTGTTTCTATTTGCGAACGGCTTATGAGATTTGACACACACTTGAAATCACACACGAAGGCACTAATAGAGTGATTTCGAGTTGTTTCATATGAAACAAAGCGAAATTATTGTTAGACATATACACCTGTTTTACGGATATCGTCAATAGTTTTTTATCAAAGCATTTGATAAAAGTTTTTTAAATTTTGAACTTGTTAACAAGATATTAAGATCTTTTCCAAAGAGTTGGGATCCTAAAGTAATGACTATTTAAGAATGTAAGAACTTGAACCATTTTCCAATTGAAGAACTTATCGAGTCTTTGATGACCTACGAAATGACTTATGTGGAACATGATGAACTTGAGAAGAACCTTCCAAAGAACAGGAAGGATTTAACACTTAGAACAAATAAAGACCGCTTGAGCGAAAGCTCAAGTGATGATGACTTTGAATTCTTAACAATAAAGCTTAAGAAAATTTTAAAACAAGAATCGAAGAATAAAAATAAACTTAAAAAGAAGAGGCTGCCAAAAAAGAAAAAGACACTTAAGGTGACTATTGAGAAAACGAGCTCGTCCGAAGAACAAGGGCAAGGTGGCAAACTGTGCTTTGACGACTTTATGTCAACAAGGTAAGCGACTCAATCGAATCTCTTTTTCCTTAACATGAAATTACTTAGTGCTTTTCATGATTATATATATATATATATATATATATATATATATATATATATATATATATATATATATTATCATGATAATTGCATGTTTTGTAATAATACTTGCACATCAAATAAGATTAATTCCTTATATGTTATAAGAAACAATTATGTGTATCTTGATGATTTTGTATTGCTTTTCGGTTTTAAACATGATATATGATTTTAATAGGAAAAAAACTTGAATATACTTATATAAAATTAATTACATAAAATGAAACACATAAAAAGAAAAATGTATTATCATTGGAATTAAAATGATAAATCAAATCTCTTGTTTAAAGAAGCCTTATGTTTAATGTGTTATATTTTTGGTCACGATGATTTTGATGATAAAATTTATTTTTCGATATTAAATGATGATGCATGGTTTGATTTGGTATAAAAAGATAAAAGCATGCTTACATGAAATCAATCACAAAATTTGGAACTAAAAGAACTTGAGCTATTTTTTATAGGAATCTATCTACGTTGCCTTTATTGAATTTTTCAAAAATTAATTTTGATGATGATTTTGGATCTATTTTCATATGACTTGTTTTACTAATGAGATGATATATTCAACTAAATCATTTATCGCATTTATGACTTGTGATATATTTGAAACATCTTTCTTAATGCACGTATGATTCACTCTTTTAAGAGAATATTTATCAAATCATAATAAGTTGAGATTTTCTTTATATGAATTAAGACTTTTCATTATTCTCCTATGATTCTACTTGCTATATATTTAAGAGAAGCTTTTCGATATAAATCATGAGATTTCTTATGCATGAATCGAGATCATTGATTATTTGTTCTCTTACAATTCTTTTGTTATTTACTAAAGAGAATATCTTTTTCGGAATTCATGACTAAAAATTTCTACCGAAGATCTTTTACTATTTGATCTCCTAAGATTTTATTTTGATTATTTAAAAAAGAGATTTGTCAAGTTGAATCATTTACGAATTGATCCTTTTTTATCTTTCATCTTTCATGTTATGATTTTCATATGATTACCTTTGTATTTATGTGATGCTTAGAGCATTGATGTAAAAAGAAAATGAATTGCACCATTAAAAAGTTCCCCTCTTCTTCTTTCTTATTTAGAATGAAAAAGGAGAGAGAGAAAATCACTAGAATCTCTTGATAAATCAATTTATGTCATTTTGAATCTTCTGAAAATAATTTTAATGATTTGATGATTTGAATCTAAATGAGATTTTTTTTCCAATTGAATCATGAACCTTCTCTTGATTTCTTAACTTGAGATTTTCTTTTATGAATCAAGATCTCTTGCTCTTTATTCTTGTATGATTCTTGCATTTTGATTTAGAAAATATTTTCTATATGAATCATATCTTTTGGTATTCAAATAATCTTTGATATTATATCTTTCATGGTTTATTTATGATACTCTCTTATGTTCATAAATTGTATAACTCATCACATTTGATTTAAATTTATCTTTGTCATGATGTGAAAATTGATGTAAAGGAAAAAAATTATAAAATTATATTCTTCCCTTCTATTTGACAATGACAAAGGAGGAGATAAATTTACTAGCTTGCATGTTCCAATATAATGTAACACTTGCTAAATTTGCTAGTCTACACATTGCAAAAGGAAGAAAAACTTGCTAGCTTGCACACTTCAAGAAAATGCAAAAACAAGCTATCTTGCACTTCTCAAAAGAGAATAATGAACTTGCTATCTTGAACATCACCAAGAATTGCTAGCTTGCAATCTCAAGAGAAGCAAAAGTTCTATCGTGCCTATCTCAAGAAGCAAAATTTGCACAACTCAAAATTGTTGCTAGCTTGTATATTATAAAACTTGTATATCTAAAACTTGATAATTGCACTTCTCCTTTTTGTTGATGATAAAGAGGGAGAAGTTATGATGATGATCATGTATGGAATGATGTGAATCATGATTGCTTTGATTTGAATTCAATTTGAATTCAAGGTTTTAACAATATGACATATTGATAGGGGGAGTTAAGGTCAACTCTATCATCAATTGGTTGTCATCATAAAAAAGAATGAGATTGTTGAATCTCGGATTTTGATGATGAAACCAATTGATAGTGTTTATAATTTAATGTGACTTTAAGTAACGCAGGACTAGCTTCGATCAGAAAAGACAAATCGATTAAAGTAGGAAGAATCAAACACTGGGCCGGAGCACACATGTTAGAAGATTAGACGTCGGGCCAGAGGATCGGTCGACGTGTCGGTAGAAGGCTTCGGTCCATGAATTCGGGCGTCGGGCCAAGAAGATCGGACATTGTGCCAAGGTGATCAGCTGTTACGAGAAGACAACATTCTTATTGGGCAATACGCCGAAGGAGAGGATGATGCGCCGAAGGATCAGACGAAATGCCAGAAGAACTAATGACATGTCGGACAACATAGGATTCTCTTATAATCGATTATGTCTAGATCGGGTTAGTTTAGAGTCTAATTGAGTCGGTTTAGAATGTAATTAAGTCAACTCAATTAGGGGTCAATTGGGCCCAAGTTTGGGTTATGTTGGGCCAAGTGAAAAGGCCCAAACAGTGACCCAACAAGTAAAATCGTCGTGGCACAATCTCCGAGACTATGCCAGGCGGTGGTACCGCCCAAACACAGTCTCCGAGAGATTGTCAGGTGGTGGTACCGCCAGACTGGGCGGTGGTAGCGCCTAGTGGCAGGGTGCCAGGCGGTGGTACCGCCCAATGTCAGGCTACAGGCGATGGTACCGCTTGTACCCTGAAATCTCGGGGATTTGAATTTTGGCTCCAAATCTTAAAGTCATTTGGGGTCTATAAATACCCCAGCTATTCCTGCATGGACTAGCAAGAAAGTTGAGCGAAACTCTGTAATTCTAAAGTTATAAACCCTATTAGAAAGTTGAGTGCCCTCCTCCTAAAGCTTAGAGAGAGTTCTAAGGGAGGTGTGTGAGAGATACCTTATAAAATAGGATTGTAAAAGATTGTCTCCTAAATCTATGAAAAGGAGAAGAGAGGTGTAAAAGGATAGTTGATCTTCGCCCATTGAAGGAAGATTGTTAGTGGATACCAGTAGCCACGACGGAAAAGGAATCGACGAAGTGGATATAGGTCACGACGACCGAACCACTATAAAAATTTAGTTTGCATTTACTTCTTGCTATTTACCTTTATTGTAAACTGAATTCTTACTTTCACTATGCTTCCGCATGCTTTCAACTTATGCATTTCCGATATCGATTTTCATCGAACAAAATAATTTTCAGACTCAACGTTTTTATCCGCTGCACTAATTCACCCCCTCTCTTAGTGTCGACTCGATCCTAATAGTAAGTACAATCACAACTGACATTTGGACTTGGGAATGTCAAAAATAAAGCAGAAAACGAAACATTTTGCTGCGAATGTAACCTAAATGCAAATGCAACAATTATCTAAGTAGGGTTGTATCCTTTAGCGGTGAAGACCAATCACCCTTCGATGACAAATTCTTAATGAACCACTACCATCTATTCGAACAAAGATAGTTTAAGGAAAAGATGCCAATAGCACTGGTCCAAGGTCTTGAGTTAAGAGAACATGTTGCAGTTTGCTGTTAAAAAGACTAGAACTAGAACGTACAATTCATTAGTAAATAGCAGAAGGGTTTGGATTCATTTACCTTGAAAGATCAGCCTTTCGAAATGTGCCTACGCCTGCAATATGTACAGTTCTTGCTTGCTTATCAAGAAACTACCAATGGAATTCCCCGACTCCATAATAAACTGCTCGTAGAAGGTTCCCACACGCTTACTGTCGACATCAAGTGATAGTTCTTCAATGTTGGGCATTCCCTCTGCTTGAACACCATTTCCACATATGAGAAAGTGGCTGCCTAGAATAAATGATCCAGATGCACGAATTGCAACTCCATCATGCTCATGGGGACGGCATTGAAGTTTTTGCACAACATGAACAATTTTCTCTTGAGGCCGACAACCTGCCAATTTTCTCCGTATATCTGATAGAGTTGAAAATATATCATTCTGCCCAGTGTATGTCTTTCCTGAGAAGCTGATCAGAAAAAGAATGGGTATTAGCACATCTACAAGGAAGTTCATTCTCAAAATATATTCAAGGGGCCAATTTCATATGTACCCTCTGGCATAGGTAAATTTTTGAGTGCTCCATTTTAAAGTTACAAATACCATGTGTAGCCACCTATAGTCAACATACCTTCATATATTATACTCAATTCTTTCACATATACCATGAAACAATTCAAGTTGCAGCGTTCAAGAAATTTCTCAATTTTAGAGGATATCCATGACATTCTGATGGGTAATTATGAATTATAGCTTTGAAGAGGCATCTGTGATATTTGCAACTTTAGAACACCAAAGTGCACTTATGATATCAGGATACAAGGAGCAGAAGAAGTATTATGACAAAATATCCACAATGATACAAACATCAATCAGAAAATGCTTAAATTAATCCAATAAGAGCACTACTTTTAACTCTTATGGTTAATCTCTCATCAATTAGGAATCTTATCTTTTGTTTGCCTAGATCATGTAGATGTACAACAAGTGTATGTATATCCAACAAAGATATATATAAAAATACAACTTATTGGGTTTCACATACTTAATTGAGTCAGGTTACTAGAATGAATATAAAAATTCTTTTTAACATTACTTGCTAGTTCCATATCACAAGCTACAGGTTCATAAAAGCATATTACATAAAACTGATCTGTGTAACTATGATGTGGTTGTCTTCCTTACCAGTGATAGATTGGGCCTATGAATTTGAAAAATCTGAAATCATGACTCCCGAGTAGGGATGGAAAAAACAGATAAACCAAGGAGCAGGCTTCTATACACACACATATCTGCACCTAATTGATTTTCTTTTTGGGTGTTCCAACGGAACTTTTTGAGACACTAATGATCCAACAAAAAGACAAGTTAGACAGCTGATTGTACCAAAAAAAAAAAGTTTGTTCTTAGATTATGCCACTATTGGAGTTATTTAATGATTTAGTGAATTAACAAAAAGGTGACTTGAGTTGGATTTAGCTTGAACCTATCGGGCTGCTACACGAGGATGGACATTTCAAATGATGCAATATTCATGTCATGCACATACGAAAACATGATACTGAGAGTGTATCCCCTCCAGTACATTTTAGATACTTCAAATATAATTTATGATCACTTCATAATACTAGTATCTACAGTTTCCTTAATGCACCCTATACATGCAGAACAAGTATAGCATCTGCGTAAGGCTCGTAAAAGCATCAACTTCCAGCAGTATGTAATCTGGACTTTGGATTATAATCTCTTTAAGGTTTGTGTCAGGGTGTAATGTACTTCTGTGGAAAGACTTATACAAGACCATACTTATGCTCCTCATTAGCTACATATATGACAATCATACAAACAACAACAACAACAACAAAGCCCTAAAGTCCCAACTATTTGGTATCAGCGATATTTTGCTATCAGTGAGATCGATAAAAAATATATGTTTTAAGAGTATTTAAACCTTTATTATAGTTTCTATTAAAGTGTTTTTAAGTCTTCCTCAACCTCTTCATACTAGTAATGATTTCTTCTGGCAGATCTCTTGAGCACATGCTCATAACACAAGTCCTTGAACTGCAAGGGCCAAATTTGTTAACTTCAAAGTTGGTTGATGAAGAGAGGGAAAAACAACTCAAACCAGTTCAGACCTGGTGAAAGGTGGCATGTGTCGTCCCGAGAAGTCATGGATGGTCAAAGGGGAATCGATCGATGGAGTCTAGATGTTGCCCGATCTCTCGATATGGAGCCCAAGACCCTGTAGAAGACCAAGACGGGCTTCACCCGCCCTCGATCTCTCCGATGTTTAAGTCAACAATGCCCAAGGTGCAAAGGAAATAGGGTGCAAAACAGAGGTAAATAAATGAGAGTGATTATTTATACCCAAGGTCTTGTGACTATTGGCGGTTGAGCGGTTTAGGTAGTTGTGGGGGTGGCACAACCATCTGCTAGTGTAACCTATTACCAAGGTGGTTCAACTATCGGTCGAGGTGGCTCAACCAATTGCCGAGTGGCTCAACTACCTCTTATGTGGTTCCATGTCACAATTGTCCTGATGAGGTGGCAGTCTTCGTTGCTAAGGTGGAGGTGTCCATGTGTTGATTTTGGAATGGTTCATTTTATCCTCGATTTTTCAACACAATGCATGCCACCCTTCATCGGGTCCGAATTGAGTTGAGTCATTCTTCCCTCTCTCTATCGGGTGACCAACCTTGAAGTTACCAATACCTAATTATTCACAAATATAAACTTTTTTTCCCATCATTTTAGGTAATTTCATACATCTAACTCAACATTCTCATCTCAGCAACACAAGTTTTTTATATATGTTGTTCCTTTAATTGCTCAACACTCGGATCTATAAAACATTACTAGTCTAACAACTATCTTATATATATATATATTTTATCTCAAAGATACCTGATTACATAACACTCCGATGCTCCTCTCTATCTTAACAATCTAGTTCTTACTCTATGAATAATATCTTCATTAATCTCTTCATCTTTTTAATTGAACTAAGATCCAAGATACTAAAATTTTTACTTACTTTGCCCATCCAACTTAACTATATCCTCCTGTCTATTCCTAATATTAACAAAAGTGTATCTATATTCAATTTAATCCTACTTAATCTAAAATCATAGTTTGACGTACTACTGAAATTATATGGTACAGGCGGTACATATCGGTCTGACAACTGATCGGAACGTGGATTGCCTTGTACCGGGCAATATAGTAGTTGGGTGGGATGTATTAGGCGATACACCCTTTACCAAGCGAAATGGTTAAAATATGACCATTACTGATTTGTAATTGTAGGATTTCGATCGACATCAATCAAGGCCTAGATTGTATTGGTTTCGACAACTAATTTGAGCAATAGACCCATATGAATGCCTATTAAACCCCATTCCTCCCCTATCCTTTATCCTATTTCAATCTCACATCTTCAAACACTCTTTCTCACTCAATCACACTCTCATTCTCACAAATTCTCACTCGTGTTCAATATTAACAGAAGAACCATTTAGAACATGCTGCAAACTCGTCAACATCCAAAAAAGATAAATCTGTTATCCCTTATTTGGATTTTTTTTAGTGAAATAAAACTAAATTTGCATTTAGTTCTAACTTCTAACTAAAATACCCTAATTTAAGCGTTTTCCTAATTTTCATGAATTTTTGGAGATTTTCTGAGCATTTTTTGGAATTGTCGACATGTTCTGACACACCATGTATTGTACACCGAGACATACCGGATCGGCCAAAGACTAGTACGGCCAGTCGACACGAAATTGCAATCCTTGTCTGAAACCATTAGTTTATAAAACCATTACTATCTTTATAGATAAGCCATATCATGTCATAACCAAATCTATCTTCCTAAGGGTGTATTAATACAGTCAAATAAGAAAGTTTTTACCTCACATGGGTCCTGTCAATTCACTCTAATAACACAAATATAGATATTGATATCAGTTACAAATACGAATCAGATTGGTACATAATGACTAATATTTGAAACATTGACAAAGGCATGGTATCAAACCACATAAGTCCACATCAATTGATAATTAATTTTTCTTTATTTTTTTCAGTGACACAGAACAGTATACTGTACAACATACCTATACCTAGTGGTCCAAACAATCGCGGAACCTAATATTCAATATTTAAAGGGTTCTCAGTTTCGATGTGTGTACCGGTCGGTACTAGCAATACATATCAATCTAAGAGGAAACCAGTACGCAAACCGCCCTCTACCAAGCGGTACCAGTGTTTTGACCCCGTAATGGGCAATACGAGGTTTATACCGGGCGGTAACAGTCGAAATCCGACCGTTACCGAGGCATACGGATCAGTACGCCCTGGATTTCCCGAGGTGTATCAATTGGTACACCATGTATCTCAATCGTTACCGAGGCGTACCGTTTGATACGCCCCGATATTTTTAGATCGTTACCTTCAGGTATTTTTGAAGGTTCTTCAGCTCTTTTTCAATGTACCATCGGGATGCCCCGACATATCGTACCAAGCAAGGCTCGGTACACCGGTACAAATCGAAATTGAGAACCTTGATGGATATTTCTAAAATGTCCAGTATTACATTATAGCTAATGCTTTATCTACATATGAATTATATGATCACACCCTTTAGAAACTATAATCTATGTTGTTAGGTAGAAATGAAATGGTCAGCATGGGCCTGAAGCAACCCTATAATCTCAACAGGCATCTGGAAAATAAAGTTCGGTGCACAGCTTAAAGAAAAGAGGATAATTGGCTAGCCTATTACGAGCCCTACTCATAAAGACAACCATACAGCAAGTACAGCATTTCATATGAACTTTATGCATACTCCACTACAAATGCTCGATGCCAATATATGACATGAGTAGCGATATTTATGCATAATAACACTGCAAAGATTACATTCTTCATCTAACTCAACAGGATACCTGAAGGTTGAGCGTTCAGTATAGAATGTTTTCATGTGATGCCAAAGCTCATCAGATCCGTCAAAAAGCATGTAATAGTGAATAGCAAGCATCTGCAATCATACAAATCAATCATCATTAAAAGACATAAGATAGGACATCGATACTTGGGACTTCAATAGAACATGGTTCAATAGTTAAGAAAAATGAGAAGTTACCTACATTGCCTAATATTAACATATGCATGAATATTTCCTTTGAAATAGTTGATCAAGTTTAACTTCTTTGGAAAAAAAAAACCATACGCATGAATGTATCTCTGTGTAAGCATGTATATATGTCTATATGTTCTCTTAGAAGCCCAAACACAATTCTGGCATATAGCAAGCCCGTGCATCATGAGATGGCAATCAAGCACTTGTAGAAGCACTCAACACTATGCCATTATCCACATGTTTCACATCAAGGTTCGCAATACCGTACCGTACCAGAGTTTCGATCTGGGCTCGGTACCGGTACGGTACGGTATACCGCTCGGTACACCCAGGTGTACCGAGCGGTATATTCAGGCGTGCCGAGCACTGTAGCAGTGTCGGAACGGTAACATATAGTCCGCGTACCGAAAGTCTGTCGGACCGGTACGTACCGCCCGTACCGGGCGGTACGGATCGATACTGCAAACCATGTTTCACATCCAGCATAAAGACTACAATCAAGAATACAAGAAACATGATCGTGAAACAGATCAATGAGCTCACATCTGCTATTTCTTTCAACTTCTGAGTTGGATCAAAAACACTTCTAACATATTCTCTTAAATCCACACCAGAATTCTCATACTTCTTGATAAATGGATGGGATAAAAGCTGCAAAATGAGAATTATTAGCAGAATAGAATACCACTGAAGCAAAAGATGCACATTCAGGGAGCAAAAATGTCACATGGATACTTCTTCAATTATTTTTGCACAATCTGGAGCCGAGGAGCACAAATCACATGAGATAACTTTGTTGAATAATCCATCTATGATCATCTAAAAAGCAGTTAGTTGTGTTTATTATATTTCTAATTCAAAACTGGTATATCTCACAGAACTGCAAAATTATTCGAAAGCATTTTGGAACTTTATGCCTTAAAATAAAATATGAAAGTCAAGCAGAACCAAAAAGTATGAAAGAAACAAAACAAAAGAAAAAAAATTCTAACATATAGAATAAGAACTGAATCAGTTCAATAAGTTAGAATAAACAAGAGATTAAAGATAATGGAAGAAGTTAGCAAAAGAAATTTGCAACTTTGAAAGAAAAGAAGTAAAAAACATAAGAGAAGCATATAGCACTAGGAATATTTCATTCCATTTTACTTGCTATCTTGGCATGATCACACACCAGAACCAATATATCATGGTTCACTAGATAAAGGTTGGTAATAAAGTGACATGAGAGGTGTGAACCACAGTTCCTTGACACACTACCCACTCTGATTTGTTACAACAGAATTTTCAGAGGTCCACTGGCATCAAAACCATATCCTAGATCATGCCTTCAATGATTTTGGGGTTGAACGCTTGAGAGTTGAGACTATACTTGTAGCTTTCGTTTCTCCCAGTTCTTGTTACTTTTTAGTTCTTTTTTGCTCTCTTTTCTCTTCATTTCCCCCTTTTCCTGTACTCATTTCATAATCTTAATGAAATAGGTTGTTATTCCTGCTACCTCTGCCTCAAAAGAAAAGAAAGAATATTAGTACTATGCTGCCCATTTGTTCCATAACTTGCTGATGTATAATTACTACTTATGGAGCTCAGTGGCGAAAAAGATACATGTGGCAAGACCCAAAAATTATTGGGACCAACAACTTGTTTCTATTTTGTATTTAATTAATGCAGTTTTTCTGATAACCTCTCAACTAAATTATCAATCACTAAAGGTCAATTAACAAATTTTCATCAACACATTACTAGATATTATGCCAGAAGTATCAACACATTTTGCCGCTTCCTTCTAAAAGTGCTAATTCATGGCTAGGCTAATTATTGACATATTTGGCCTACAAATGGACATGCTAGCCAGAATGATATGGAGTTATGTCATGTTAGAAAAGTACAACAGGCCCCCATACCAAAGAACCAGAATCCTTGATCGGTAGATAACATACTCATGCTTGTCAGCTGGCAAACTAAAATACAAAAACTTGCTAAAAAAGAAAAAGTAAACAAAAGATTGACAACAGTACTATATAACATTTATCAATAAAGACTGGCAAATCCTGAATCCTGATCGTGCTAATCATTTCACAACTACAATAAATGTTTACTGGAAAACTATGCTACTTCCTAGCAGTTTCTGCTAAACACATGATAGGAATAACATTAAGATATATTATTAACATAAAAGGAATTACATGTCAATATGAAGAGGTCAGGTTTAAGTTCAGTTCCTAAAATTTATTAAGACAAAAACACACACACACACAAAGGATAATAAGATTTTCTTACCTGTTCAGCTGTAGGCCTTGCATCAGACTCCTTCTGAAGACAGGCATCAATAAATGAGCAGAACTCGAGCGAAAATGAATCTTTTGGAGGCGTTGGTGATGTATCATACAAGATCTGCAAACTCATTATACAGGCAAGGAGTTAAATGTTGCAGTAAACAATCAATAAATTCCAATGAGATTGAGCTAATCGGTCCATGTTTTTTCTTGCTCAGGTTGTATCCATATCCTTGCTACTGTTTCTACTGCTTTCTAATAGATGAACGAGAAGACAGATATAAACACTACTTTCTGATCATCACTCCTTTCATTCAAAAACAAAGCAAAAGCCAGATAACTGCAAGGCGACTTCACCTGATATAATTCAACACTTCCTAGGTACAATTTATAAAATAAGTATCTCAGGCAAGTGCTGTACTAAAACAGTATAATTTTCTCCATTATATATCTGATACAACTACTGAGACATGCCTCATGCTAGTTAGCAATTGTAAGGTTTCAGTGGCATTTTATCACATTGAAGAATGACACGTTTTGATTAACCATGCAATGATTAGATTAACACAAATTTTGAAAGAAAAAATAAAATTTCGACAATTGTTACATTAGAGAGAAACCTTCGGGAACCAAATTAAAGGTAATCCATGCACATCAAAGTTCCACATTTGCATGTTCCATAAAGTTGTCTGTTGACAGGTTTATACACAATGCAATTCAATTTTCAGAAAATCCTTGGATATATATATATATATATATATATATATATATATATATATATATATATATATCGCATAGGTGAGAAAACTATGCACAATGAACATTTTTGGGTCAATCATGTAAACATTAACCTGATGCGCAACTAGCGAATTCCAAAAGTAAATATCAAAAAAGTTCCTAAATCTAAGTTGCCAATTTATCTAACCACACACACAAATCAGGTTTCCCCAATGCTTTAAACTAGTTTCTGCCCAAATTTGATTCAGCAAAATGGTTTCATACTATCTACAGTTTGGTTCAATTTTTCATAAATCAAATCCATCAGGATTAATAAAGCAAATAATATCTATTGTTGAAATTAGTTTAATATCTCTAATTGAGTAACTTAATAATTTATAACAAAATTCAGCTGAGTTATTCTAGGCCTAGACCAAGTCATAACGGATCAACTTTGATACTCGACTATCAAAACAATATCTATTAGAACAATTAAGACTAACTCATACTTAATTTGAAAGAGCTTCAGCAACATGCATCTTTTGTTTGTTTCTTCATCAAATAAATAAGCAAAATGTGAATCAATCATTCAATAAAGGTAAACCTTTGCCTGAGGAAAGAGGATACTAAGTTATATATTCTGTCTTAGTAGGATACGTATTACCAAGGTATACAGTTTCGAATGATAACGTCTGATACGGGAGGTATGAACCGGTCCGACAGTATACTGGTACGCAGACCGCTTGCTACCGAACGATATTTTTTATTT